TTTAGCCATAATTTCCCTTCATTTAGTTCATAATTTTGCACTCTACCCATAATTTAAAAAAATTGCCAATTCTTTGGTAGTTTTTTTTTTTTTTTTGCATTTCCTTGCAATTTAACTATTCAAACCAATTCTTTGAAATAGAAGCCAAAATGTTTCCATTAGTGCATAGTTAACTTTTGTTTCCTGGCGAAAAAATACATTAAAACACATTTATCAATTAATCAAAATACAGGGATATATTACATCCTAGTGAATCCATGAATCTAAATATTTAGCAAAAATGCAATAGTTCAATAGAATTGTTTAATTCCCCTATTTTAACCCATTTCAGTTTCAAGACTCTCATGAATATCAAGCCATGTATGGGAGAAGGTGTTATTTGACTAAATGCCCCACATTTTGATTTTGCAAGAATTTTTAGCAACATTAATAAGATTTTGGAACACTTTACTTATTATCAATTGGTGTGAAGATGGATTCTCAAGTTATTTATCAAGTTTTTGACATAATATTAGATCTTTTGTCCCTTAATGGAATTTAAATTCCTTTCTTGGGTCATAGGGTATTTATTCCCTTTTACAGTATTTTTATCCAATGGGTAACACTTCCTTTGGCATGGCAAATGGGTTATTACAGATTTAATTCCTATCACAAGTAAAGCCTCCATTCACGGTGTGTCACATTTTACAATATTATTTTCTTTTTGAGTTGTTTCTCTAAAGTAATAACAAGAATCTTATTTACAAACTCAAAAATCTCTTTAAGGAGTAGTGTTACTATTTGTGATGTATCCACATTTATTGTATCAATGTCAATATTGATTATATTTTGTGACCACATTCAAATTGTTAGTTTTAGATTCTTGATTGGGGATTGATTTTGCTAAATTAATTGTCTAGTTTACCTTAGATAGATTAAACTTTTCATTAAAAGCTAATAGGGACTTCTTGTCCTTATATCAGTCATTTTCTAGTCAAAAGGTGAATGTCCAGAAAAGCTCATTTACTTGCTCGGTTAGGACTATGGATGAGCAGTTATCATTGGTCTCTTCGGCTCTTGTTTTCAAGGAGTTACCATTTCCGTTTACATATTTGGGTGTCCCGAGTAATGGGAGAATTGGATGTGTAGTTTTTGATAGATTACTTACTGAATTACGTCAACGATTGTTTCATTAGAGCCCTAAGCTACTCAGCAGAGGGGAAGAAACAATTCTCTTTGGGCATGTGTTGTCATCGCTGCCAATGTACTTATTGTAGATAGTTCAGTCTCCTAAAGCTGTCCTTGTTGCATTGGGAAGGATTTGTAATGCATTTCATTGGGACCAAAATGTGAATGAGAAGAGGCTTCATTGGGCTGCACGGGAGAAGCTATGTTATCTGGTAAATGAAAGTAGTTTAGGATTTTATTCCTTTCCTGATGTTTTATAGGCTTTCTCTTGTAAACTCTAGTGGAAGTTAAGGAAAAATGATTCGCTTTGGTCAGAGTTTATGGACATTAAGTACATCAAAGGGATTCATCCCTCATTTCTGGTAGTTGATCATCCTTTGTCTGCTTCGCACTATTTGGAGTCAATTAGAGGGTTTGATGAGAGTCAAATTTGCTGGTGTTTAGGGAAAGGTGTGGTGGATTTTTGGTATGATGTGTGGTGTGCGGATGGCCTTTGGTGAGGTCTTTAGGTGTTACGAATCCTCCTCATTTTCTTGTGGTGGAGTTTTTCTCTTCCAATGGTTGGAATGTGACTAGGTTACGGGAATGGTTGTTGGATTCTGTGGTTACCGGCATTTTACAAATTCTGTTTAATTCTTCTTCAAAGGATCAAATGGTATGGTTGCCATCTTCTGTTGGAGAATTCTTGGTCTCGTCTGCATAGGAGAGGATTCGGTGGGCCACAAGTTTTTTCACTTTTGGATAGATTTCTTTGGGATTCAAGTATTCTTTTGAAGATTTTCCTTTTTTGCGTGGAGGCTTGCACATAGATGGATGATAGGGTGTTAATTGTTAGTAATTTTATTGTTAATTTTCCCTTTTTTTCTTGCCAAATATTGCTTAATTGTTAACATATATTTATATTTGGTATTTGGACCTATCTACAGGAAGTGGGACTGGAAAGTGCTAAAAAAGAGAAACCATGTTGAGGAAAAGACTCCACGCGTGGAAGACTTCAAACAATCCATAAGCCTGGCCCACATGGTGCTAAAATCGGATTGCATTTTCTTTTTTTGCTGATGAGGAGTGTTTTGGGTATTGGAGTCTTTGACTAGAGATGGGAAACGAGAAAAGAGAAAACATTCTGAGGGCCTTGCCTTTTTGTACTTGCGGCTTCTCAATTTCAGCGGGGACCACGGAGATAAGAAGCACTAGTCATTGTTTAGAGAAACGTACAGAGGCTTGAGAGTAATAGTTTTAGCATAGTTTAGTTTTCTTTCTTTTTCCTTTTCATGCACACGAGGTGTTCGATAATATTTTCTAATGGGAAAAACATCTTTTACTTCTGCTTTCTAGTGAAAAACGTGATGCCTTTGCAATCAACTAATTTGCGTGGAGATTTACTTATGCGGCGTGGTTAAGTTTTCCATCTAATCAAGAATCAACGCGACGACGCAGTCCCGAATATCTGTGAAATCGAATTAATTTTCATGCGTTCCTTAATTTGTTAATATTTGCACGTTGTCTCTTTGAATTCCTATGGGATTATTTTGTTAATTGAATTTCAAGGGCCCGATGTTCAATACGACTTATTAATCTCCTGCCAAATTAGTCAATTAAATCCGTATTGTTTACATTGATTAATATTAGTGGCAACTAGCGTTTTTATACCCTAGGGGAACGTGCAATCTGATTTAAATAACCCTCGTAGCATGTTATTGATCGGGGTTAGGTTTTTCTAGTTCTTAATGCAATTGGAAAATTAATTTCTACGGTCGTATTTAGGAGTATTTTCTGATTAGGAGTAATCAATGGTCGTACCTTGATTACCAATAAATTAAGGAAAAATTGGTCGCTAGAGTTCGTCGGCAACTATAAATAACCTATTAATAAATTAAGTGAACCTCCCGTGCAGCAATGATCGAATGAATGGATTGTGTCTGAGTAGTTGTATTCTTAGCTAGAATTTATCTATTCTTGGTTTAATTCCTGTCGACATTCGTACTAGTTAATTATTCGTTTTAGTGAATCGCTTAATTATTTTCAACTTTATTTCCACACAACCCCCCTTTTTACTATTTGGAACTTTAAAGAGACAAATATCCCCAGTTCCTGAGGAGACGACCCTGCTTGCCACTGTCTACTAGTTAATAAATTTTGTCAATTAATTAATTCTGGTATATCGGATTAAACAAACTTTTCGGGAACAAGGTGAATCAAGTAACCCATTGCACACCTAGAATCCCTGCTCCAGTACCTAGAATTGATTATTGACTGCTTTTAGTGGTAGTTAGGTTTTATTATTATTATTGCACAGGCTCGACACCTGTCAATTTTTGGCGCCGTTGCCGGGGACTGACGTTAATTATTTGTTTCTTTTTAAGTTTTAATTTGTTTTAATTTCCTGGTATTTTTTCTAGTGCATGTCTCGTTCTTCTCGTACAGGCGAATTAATTTTCGACCCTGAAGTAGAGAATACTGCACGCCGAACTAGGAAAGAAACTAGACAACTCAGAGAGGAGCAATCCAGTGTTGCACCTCAAGGACTGAATCCAGAAGTGATGTCGATAAATTTGCGGGGTGACCACTCGAGTGATTCGAACCAAGAGGAAGTCACCATGTCAAATGTACGAACATTAAGGGAGTTGGCTGCTCCTGATTTAACTCAGCAGCCTTTGTGCAATACTTTCCCAAGTTTAAATGATAACACATCTTTTGAGTTAAAATCTGACCTAATTCATCTTTTACCATCTTTTTATGGCTTACCAGGTGAGAAGCCTCACAAACACTTGTAAGAGTTCGATGTCGTCTGCAAAAGTATGAAGCTCCCGGAAATTATAGAGGAACAAATAAAAATGAGGGCATTCCCCTTTTTTTTGAAGGATTCCGCAAAAGATTGACTATACTACCTGCCACCAGGTAGCATCACTATGTGGGACCAGTTGAAGAAAAAATTTCTAGAAAAATATTTTCCTGCGTCTCGGGCCGCCAGTTTAAGGAAAGAAATCTGCGGCATCAAGCAACACCCAGGTGAGTCTCTCTACCAGTACTGGAAAAGGTTCAAAATGTTGTGCATTAAATACCCTTAGCACCAGATAAGTAAGCAACTGCTCATTCAATATTTTTATGAGGGACTACTCTTCAGAGATAGAAGCATAATCGATGCTGCAAGTGGAGGAACATTGGTAAACAAGACTCCTCGAGAAGCATAGGAGTTGATTGAGGGGATGGCTGAAAATTCACAACAGTTTGGTTCAAGAGAGGACACCCCGACCCGTAAGGTGAATGAGGTAGAAACATCCTCTATCCAACAACAACTCTCCGAATTGACGTCTTTCGTGCGACAATTAGCTGTGAGAAGTGCCTCACAAGCCAAAGTATGTGGGGTATACATTGTCGTGGGTTATTCTGCAGAGATGTGTCCACTGGTTCAGGAAGACAATGCAGAACAGGTGAACATGGTTAGCCACGCGCCCGCGCCAAGAAAGCAGTATGACCCATATTCAAGTACCTACAATCTTGGTTGGAGGGATCACCCCAATCTCAGTTATGGAGGGAATAGGCAGTCTAACTTTGTGCCAAATAGACAGCAAGGGCATCAATAGCAGTACCATCCTCGGTCATCACCATCCCCTGCGAACTCAAGTCCGTCCATGGAAGAAATGATGAAGTAATTACTTACTAATCAACAAAAGACGGATGCAGACCTGCAAATTATGAGGAATCAACTGGGACAGATACAATCCATGCAAAATCAAATGAATCAAATAGCCATCACGATCAACCGTTTGGAGTCCTAAGTTCAAGGGAAGTTGCCATCTCAACCTGAGTTGAATCCGAAGAATGTCAGTGCAATGACCTTGAGGAGTGACAAGAAAGTCCATGGACCTGAACCTGTGATTTCTAAGGACAAGGACCAGGAACGAATTGAGAAAGAGTTGGAAGAGGAGGGCAGAGACACCAAAGCTCCAAAGGTAACCTCGGACCCAATCATTACAGTTAGGACTAATCCACCTCCCTTTCCTAACAGGTTGGAGAAACCAAAAAAGCAGGACAAGGAGAAAGAGGTCTTGGAGATCTTCCACAAGATGGAGATCAACATTTCCCTACTGGATGCGATTAAACAAGTACCCAGATATGCGAAGTTTTTGAGGGACTTGTGTGTCAACCGAAGACGGTTGAAAGGAGATGAGCGAGTGGTAATGGGGGAAAATGTGTCAGCAATTCTGCAGCGAAAGCTTCCACCGAAATGCGGGGACCCAGGTACGTTCACTATTTCCTGTAGGATAGGTAATACCTTGATTGGGAAGGCCATGTTAGATCTAAGAGCCTCAATTAATGTTATGTCAAAGTCTATATATGCTTCTTTGAATTTAGGTCTTTTAAAAGAGACTGGAATAATAATCCAACTAACTGACCGAACCAATGCATACCCTGACGGGTTGATTGAAGACGTTTTGGTAAAAATTAATGAATTGGTTTTTCCAACCGATTTTTATGTTCTTGACATGGAAGATAAACACTCCCATGACCCGTCACCTTTATTGTTAGGTAGATCTTTTTTGAGCACAGTCCGAACCAAAATTGATGATAACAAGGGTACCCTGTCTATGGAATTTGATGGTGAGATTGTTTACTTTAACATCTTTGAGACCATGAAATATCCTTCCGATTCAAATATTGGCTCTGTTTTCTCTGTAAATGTTATTAACTCTGCTATACAAGAGGTTTTGAAATTGAAGACAGGGATGAGTTAGAAGTCATTTTGACCAGGCACTTCGAGTCAGGCACTTCGCACCCATTTTCTTACCTGAACCTCACCAACGATTACTTCCGTCTGTGGTGCAGGCACCTGTTTTGGAACTGAAACCGCTGCCAAAACACCTGAAGTATGCATACTTGGGTGAATGGGAGACTTTCCCAGTGATTATATCTGCTAGTTTATCAGAGGTGCAAGAAGACAAACTGATTCGAGTCTTAAGGGAACATAAGCAGGCGATAGGATGGACCATCGCCAATATCAAGGGAATTAACCCCGCGGTGTGTATGCATCGGATTTGACTCGAAGAGGTTGTTAAGCCCGTGCGATAGGCTCAGAGGAGATTAAATCCTCTCATGATGGAGGTCGTGAAGAAGGAGATTTTGAAGCTGCTGGATGTCGGAATTATATTTGTAATATCAGATAGCCCTTGGGTAAGTACAGGTGGTCCCGAAAAAGGCAGGGGTAACAGTGGAGTCAAACCAAGAGGGTGATCTCGTACCAGTTCGAAAACCCACCGGGTGGCGGCAGTGTATAGACTATAGGAAGCTAAACGCTGTTATGAAAAAAGGATCATTTCCCTCTTCTTTTTATTGATCATATGGTAGAGCCATTAGCAGGTCGAGCTTACTATTATTTTTTTGGATGAATTTTCAGGTTATTTTCAGATTGCTATCGCACTTGAGGACCAGGAGAAACCACCTTCACGTGCTCGTTTGGAACATTTGCTTACCGAAGGATACCATTTGGTTGTGTAATGCGCCCGCTACCTTCCAAAGATGCATGGTAAGTATTTTTTCAGAGTATGTTGAAAAGATCATTGAGATTTTCATGGACGATTTTAGTGTATATGGAGAAAGTTTTGATAACTGTCTAGACAACTTGAAATTAATCTTAATAAGGTGTATAGAACCTAATCTTGTACTTAATTGGAAAAAATACCACTTTATGGTCGAATACGGGATAGTTTTGGGTCATGTAGTGTCGTCTAGGTGTATTGAGGTTGATAAGGTAAAAATAGATGTTATATCTATTTTATCTTACCCCGCGAGTGTGCGGGAGGTGCGTTCTTTTTTGGGTCACGCGGGTTTCTACAGAAGGTTTATCAAAGATTTTTTGAGAATTGGAGCACTCCTGTTCCAACTTTTGCAAAAAGAGGTGCCCTTCGAGTTCGATGAAACATGTAAGAGGGCGTTCGACAGGTTGAAAGAGCTATTGACCTCCTCACCCATTATCTAACCACCCAACTGGAGCCTTCCATTCGAAATCATGTGCGACGTCAGTGACTATGCAGTAGGCACAGTACTGGGTCAAAGGGTGGGAAAGGCAGCCCACGCCATTTACTACGCTTCTCGAGCCTTGAACGGAGCTCAATTGAACTATTCAACCACCGAAAAGGAGCTTTTGGCTGTTGTTTTTGCTTTAGAGAAATTTCGATCTTATTTACTAGGTGCTAAAGTTATTATTTTTTCTGATCATGTAGCATTACAGTATCTGTTGACCAAGAAAGAGGCAAAATCGTGACTGATAAGGTGGATATTATTGCTACAAGAGTTTGATCTGGAGATCAGAGATAAGAAAGGTGCAAAAAATCTGGTAGCCGATCACTTGAATCGAGTACAAATCGCCGAAGACGACCTTCCGCTGAGAGAAACTTTTTTCGATGAGTATTTATTTTCTGTTAATTTATCCTTGCCTTGGTATGCGGATATTGTTAATTTTCTAGTCACTGACAAATTTCCTGCAGGATGGCCTAAGGCAAAGAAGAACAAGTTGATGAGTGATGCTAAATCCTACATTTGGGATGACCCCTACCTCTGAAAGCGGGGTGTCGATCAAGTCATCCGTAGATGTATAAGTGAGAATGAATTTCAATTTATTCTAATCTATTGTCACTCTTTTGCGTGTGGAGGTCACTTTGGAGCAAAGAGAACGGCTCGTAAGGTGCTAGAGAGCGGGTTCTATTGGCCGACCCTCTTTAAGAACGTCCACTCATTTTGTAAGTCCTGTGATAAGTGTCAACGAGTAGATAATATTTCTCTTAGGGATCAAATGACTCAAACCCCCATCATTTTTGTTAAAGTTTTTGACGTTTGGGGTATTGACTTTATGGGTCCTTTTCCTTCGTCTTTTGGTTTTTTTTTGTATATATTGCTTACTGTGGATTATGTTTCGAAATGGGTGGAAGCAAAGGCCACCCGTACTAATGATTCCAAAGTGGTTGCAGAATTCGTCAAGTCCAACATTTTTGTCTGCTTTGGGATGCCGCGAGCAATTGTAAGCGATCGGGGTACTCATTTCTGTAACAAGACGATTGCTGCAGTTTTTAGGAGATACAATGTCTTGTACAAAGTCTCCACTTCCTACCATCCTCAGACAAACGGTCAGGTGGAAGCATCAAACCGAGAGATCAAGTCAATTTTAGAAAAGATGGTCCGACCCGATAGGAAGGATTGAAGTATTAGGTTGGAGGATGCACTATGGACATATAGGACGGCGTACAAGACACCTATTGGAATGTCCCCTTACCGGTTGGTATTTGGGAAGCCATATCACCTCCCGATCGAATTCGAGTATAGAGCGTTTTGGGCGGTCAAACAATGCAATATGGATATCGAGGAGGGCGGAATTCAAAGAAAGTTGCAATTATAAGAGTTGGAGGAGATTCAAAATGAAGCATACGAGAATGCGGCAATTTATAAGGAGAAGAATAAGATATTTTATGACCAACAGATCTCTAGAAAGACATTCGTCTGCGGGCAAAAAGTTCTACTGTACCACTCGAAGTTGAAGCTATTTCCAGGTAAATTACGTTCTCGTTGGATCAGTTCTTTTGTTGTGACTAATGTCTTTCATTATGGTGCAGTGGAGATCCAGAGTTTGAAAATAGAGAGGAAATTTGTAGTGAATGGTCACCGTCTCAAGCCGTATTATGAAGGGTTTCCAGTTAAACGGGTGGAGATGGTGCGATTGGAAGACCCAACTTGCTTAGTTTAATCAAATGTTGGGCTACATCTAGCCAAAGACATTAAAGAAAGGCGCTTTTGGGAGGCAACCTAAATATTGGTTCTGTTGTTTTAGTGCTCAATTCTTTAATTATGTTGTTTCTCATTTGGGTAGTAGTCGGTCTTAATATTTTCCTCTACTGTGACCAGGACAGGAACCTTGGCGTGCCCACGCCGTGTTAGTGGCTCCCAAGGTCAATGGACGTTTACCAATCTTGGCGTGCCTGCACCATGTTGGTAAAACCTCAACATCTCGCGATATTGGCAGGAATTGCAATCTTGGCATGCTCACGCTGTAATTGACAACCCAAAAATGAGGGAAATATTCAAAAAAAAATTTCAAAATAAAAACATTTTCCATTTTACAACTCCAGTCTTGGTTCTCACAATTCGAATTTTGAAATTTGAGTTTGCAATAAAAAAAAATACTTAAAAAAAATAAAAAAAAAATTGTTTTATTTTTCTTTTCCTTTTTCTCTTTTCTTTTTCCTTTTTCTTTTCTTTCTTTCTTTCTTTTTCTTTCCTTCTTCCTTTTTTCTTTCCCTTTTCTTCCCCGCTGCCTTGCTTCTCCTTTCCTTCTTTTCTTCTTTCGGCCGAACCTCACCGCCGCCACCCATCTCGTGCGCCACCTCTTCCCATCGCCGCCGCCTCCCTCTCCCTCACTCGTTCAGCCCACTGACCCTGTTCGCTGCTGCTGCTGTCTGCCACCACTATAGCCGCGCAAGAGCAGCCATTCTTCCCCTCGTGGCCAAGCCGCATGCCACCGCCTCCTTCTTCCTCCAGCGCGCGCCAACTAATCCTTCCCACAGCCGCACACGTCACTCACTCCCTCTAGACCATACGTTGCGCGCAGTCGCAGCCAAGCAACAGCCGCGTGCCACCAGCTCCACCTCATGCGACCTTCTTCCCTGTTGCCCTTGTTTTCCTCCCACGCGATGTTCCAGCCGCCGCCGTCCGCTACTCCCGTCTCTCTCGCAGCTGACGCGCCGTCGCAGGCTTCTCCTTTTCTTTGCACAACTGCCATCAGCTCGCCCGCTCCTCCCTCACTCTCCCTCGGGCGCTTGCACGCCGCCACAGCACTGTCACCACCTATCGAATTTTGACAGGTGGAAGTATTGAAATTTCTCCCTCGATTAGTATTTTTCTGGATCTTAAATTGCTGGAATTTGTGTCTTTTTCTTGGGTTTCTTGATGGATATAGCAGGAGGTGATTTGAGCATTTTTTGGGGTTAATTTGGGTGTTTGCCGATTGTACTGGAGTTTATTGCGCTTTTGGATAGATTTAAGGTAAATTGCAATAATCTGTTGTTCTGTTTGGGGCTGTGTTCTGGTATTGTGTGTGGCTACGGTGCCAATTGCTTTGCTGACGTGAGGTTAGGTACATTTAGTTGAATTGTTGGGCTGAATTGATTTTGCGTTTGCCTATATTGGGACCACTATTGCTTATTGTCTGTAATTGCTGCTTTGTTGAGACGTTTGTCTCGACCTTGGGTGCCTAAAGTGTCTATTTTGTTGATTGGGTTAGCCATTTGATTTAATTTTTCCTGTGCGTGCACCAGTGGTATTGGTTGTGGTAGTTTGCATAACACTTGTAACTCCTGTGTTATTGGTTGCCTAATTGACTACTGGGCATTTGTAATTGAGTTGTTCCTGTCCAACTTCAGAATTACTGTTGCTAGAGTGGCCAATTCTTGGGTCATTTGCCAATTTCAGTAAGTTGAATTGTGTAATTGACTGCCCAATTGGAGGCATTTGTTCGAATTTTGGGGTGGGCAAATTGTGTTATTCTCTGTTATTTTTGGGTTGCCTACTAGTTACCATGGTGAAGCCACGATCCTCCTCTAGGTCTAGGACACCTAGAACTTCTCAGCCCCCTCCACCCCAGCACTCCATTCTCACCTCTGACCCCTCGCATGATCCTTCTTCCTCTGGAAGGAGGGCTCGCCTTGGGAGGTAAAGAGGTGTCTATATCTCTGACCCTGAACATTTTGGGAGTAATTTGAACTTCACCAGGGCCGCCAACAAGCAGCGATATGCTGCTTGTTGTGAACGGCGAATTATTCCCTGCCGTTATCGGGACGCCACCACCTTAGGTCTTCTGAATATTAGGGTTGATTTTGACCGATTGATTGCAGCCATTGGGTGGCGTCCCTACACTTATATTGTTGACCGTCCGGCTTTTGTCGAGTTGGTTAGGGAATTCTATGCCACATTTGAGTTCGACCTCCCCACGGGTTACACAGTTTCTACTCCCAATGTCATCCGTTTTAGACTAATGGGTCAAGAGTTCCACCATTCCATTACTGATTTCAATCTAGCACTTGGTTTTATTGAGCAGGCCTATGCCGAGTCTCGTGAGTATGGCGAGAGTGCGTGTGACTACGTAGAGCCTTTTTTCTCCCGCTATCGGTATATTTGAGAGGATATGTCTGTCGACCGTGTTGATTATGACTCCCGTCAGTCTAAGAGTTGTTTTCTGAAGGACCCCACGTCTTGCTATATCCAGCGTTTCTTGGCCTATAGTTTCTCGGGTAGACGAGATAGCTCGGGCATTTTGTCTAAGCCAGAATTTTTCTTTATTTGGTGCATGCATAACAACATTAAGGTTAATCTTGGGTGCTGGCTCGCTTCTCAATTCAAATCTATTTTGCCTAAAAAGAAGCGCCCCTTGATTCTTGGGTCATACATTACTCATTTGACTGTTAATTTACATGTGCTTGATATTTTTAACCATGATTTGCATATAGCCTGGC